GACCCATCCTTCAAATTCGGGGAAATGAAGGACGCATTTGAAGGAGTCGATGAATTGGGACAGCCTTCGGCGCGTCGCTGTGACGCAATCGGTCTACAAATGCGGCCTCCGGAGGATGCAGCCGACGTTTTGGGACACAGCTCATTCATACTGAATAAAACGTGAAGGACTTTCATGCACATGCTCGCTGACTGCTGGGCTCTGATTGGTGAATCGTTAGCCTACAGCTTCACGGTCAGATCCACGCCTTGGTAGGCGTCACGCAGGCGACTTCCCCTCAGCCTGCTCATGCTGACTTCACAGGCGTGTGCAGTGGGACCGTTATCTTGCACTCTCCTGCAGCACAGCGAGCAACAGGCTGTGCGCGGCGTGGAGACTGCATACATGCGTCACGCCCTGAGATGACAGCGCGGTATCTCTGTCACCAAATCACCAGACCACACTGTGGACGATGGCGACACTTCTTCTGTCGCCACATTTTTAGAGTTGACAGGCAGAGAGAAAGATCCCAGCATGAAAGTCCACCGCCAGCTACAGTACTGCAGGCGCACCGTGCATGCTGGGATCTGCATCGATCAGATGCATTAATCACGCTTAAGTGCGTACGCCTCGCATTTGTGATGGTTTCCACAGATTTAGCTCCGTCAGCTGCGATGACTCGAGAAGCTCTCTGCTGCTGACGGATGCTGCAGGGTCGCGTCTGTGACTTTTGGCTTGTGTCATATGATCAGCTCCTCACGCATTTCACCGATGACGCCTCAGACAACGGTTGGCTTCCACCGCCTGCCTTGGCCTCCCGGACAGGAGGAGGACAAACTGGCGTGTTTTGAAACACACTTTCACTTCCCGTGGTGGAAGGCTATTTTCATCCTCCGCTCGAGTTCCTCCTTTTCTCTCTGATTCCTACGGGGAAACTCGGGGGCCTCCACAAAACACAGAGACGCAAACATAACGGCCGAGTTTGGACTGAACACCAGCTGTTTGTAGAAAAACAGGCTTTTATACCGACATCTTTCAAAATAAAGTCCTTATTTCTGCTCTGACACTTTACTTTTCCAGACTTTTATTTTACCAAACAGATTCATTTTTGTGTTTGTATTTTTAAAAACTCACTATTCTATATTATTAATTCTTACAATCGTATCTTGTTCGTCACCTCTGCAGGTGCGGAGCAGCAGGAGACAAAGCTGTGATGAAGCTTTTTCAGGGAGAGCTGCTGCGTCTCCGTCTCTGTGCATCTGAGAATCGCTGAGCTCCTACTCACTGAAATGGTGCTAAAGACCGACATGCGGTGTGCTCGCGTCTTCAGCCCAGACGGGTGCACAACAGCGGGGGGGGGCGTCACTCTCATCACGGGGGCACGCAGTCTGTTGGAAGGTAGCGAGGTGCCTCGTGCTAACGTGTACGTTAGAGGTTAAAGGGAGTAAGGCCTGTAAGAGGGATAAATGTAGGATTTCATGCAGAGGTGAGCAGCGGCGTTGCTTTGAGCTGATGTTTTGGGTCCGTTTGCAGGAAGATTTCTTTGTGAACGTGAGGAAAACGAACCCGTCACACTTTCCTATGAAAGCAGCAGCACGCCGTTTGTTGCTGGTTTAATTGTCAGCTGTGCTCGATGGCGTTCCTGAGCAGGAAATAACGCCGGCCTCAGACCACCTGAGAGGTCTCCAGGAGAAACCAGCAGTTTGGCCTGAAGAAGGGAAGACGGAGGCGTTTCGTGGCGCTGCGATGTCTTCGTCTGTGGTAGCAAGGCTTAAATGAAGAAAGGTCCCATTGTGGTTTTACCATCTCCGTGTCTTTATGCTTAGACAAGCCTGAACTGAGGCTTCGTCATCTCACGCCTCAGTTCTTCCTCTGTCAGAAACTTGGTGTTCTCTGTTCTGATTGGCTGCCCCCCACAAACAGAAGGTTTGAACAGCAGTGAGTACACGCCCCCTCTGTGACATCATCATCATCAAAAACTCTGAAACTGAGAGTTCAGAGCAGCCTGAGCTTTAGACTCAGTGTTACTGAACACTGAAAACACGAGTACAAACCAGAGCAGCCTGAACACACAGACACGGCAGGTAACGACAGCAGAGGACACAGGTGAGACGCACAGGTGAGGCTAAACAAACAGCGAGGTTACCACAATAAAACAGGAAATAACTAAACAGGCGAACGTCACAGACTGAGACCTGGAAGGTAAGGAAGGCGGAGCTCTATAACGACAGATACCCGATGACATCACTAAGCAGGGCTCTAGACTAACGTTATTCCATGGTTGCACTGGTGCACCAGCACAAAAGTGAGGCGCAATTTTGGGGGGAAAGTTGCCGTCCACACAGACACTATTGATTTGTAAATGATTAACTAACAATCTGTCAACACAAAGTTCTTTATTTGGAGCTCAGTTACAAAAAAGAGAAGTTCCTGAAAAACTGCTTGTGCTCAAAGTGCGTTGGCTCTCTTTGGCAATACTGTAGACGATGTTAAACGTAATCATCACATCGACTCCTCTGACGACCTGCTTGCTGCTGAAAGGCAGCGGGCGGAGGGGACACGTGTGCATTTATCGCAGCATATAAAGTGTTTCTGGATACACTGCTGCTTTTTCAGCACTCAGAGGCTGATGGCTCCGTGTCAGAGCTGGCTGTGAACGTCAGACAGATCAGGCCAAGAAAAAGTCATCAATCGTTCTTTTCTCATTACCCACAGCTACATCCACTCTGTGGGGCCTAGGCTGCTCACCCGGGCTGGGCATCATCACTGATCTCTATAATCCACAGGTGTCGAACTCCAGTGTGATTTTATCAGAGTGAATCCATGATGACATTTATCAAACGTGAAGCGTAGTTTGGATCTTCTTTTGCTGCTGGTTCAATGAATTTTGGGTGGAGAGAGATAAAACCTGCAGCTCAGAATCGAGCGCAAAAAAGACGTAAACACAGCACAGACCCGACGCATCAGAGTCAGCGAGCTGTCGGCTTTCAGCCCCGACGGCGTGTCCGTGTGCGGGCCGTCCTGTGAGAAAGCCGAGAAAGAGAACGCCGATTCTGACGCGTCGGTCCGCTCTGTGTTTACGTCTTTGTGTGGAGTCCGTTACCTGCTCTCATTTACTGTTTGGTGGTTGTTGAAATAGTTTGGAGAGCTTTAACCTGAGATGCTGGCAAAATTCATTTATATTTAAAAGATTCAGGATTTAATGAATCGACATCACTTTGTTCAAGCTGCTCACCTCTATCCGCCTGCACTTTCAAATACACACAAAGGACCACGGCCAATCACAGAGGTCCCACCCCTGACTATCTCTGATTGGGACACACGATAAGGGCATGATGTGTGTCAGTTGTTGACCACACGGAGACTTTCAGAGTTGCAGAGACCTTTTTTGTTACTGGAACAGTTGGACCAAGGATTTTTTTTAGTTGCACCACTGAAAATTGTGGTCGGATTTGCGACTAGATTGGCTGCACTCTAGAGCCCTGCTGAGAGTACAAACACCTGGAAGTGAGATAACAACACAGGAAATACACGAAGGTGAGAAAAGTAAGTATAAAAGACTCAAAGTCTAAAACATAAAACCCTGAAACAGCAGACTCAGGGTGACGGATTTTATTTGGACGTGAGCGATGGGTGATGTCATAGTGGTGGTTTCCATCTTTTATTTACAGTCTGTTTGATCTACTATAGTGGTTCATACAGCAGCGTTCAGATTAGCAGGTTACTGCTGTGTGTGTGTGTGTGTGTGTGTGTGTGTGTGTGTGTGTGTGTGTCGTGGACGCGCTCACACGCACACTAACTGTGAATAAAGGTTTTAGTCTTCACCTAAAGTGCAGTGTGTTTTCTTTGGGTCACGTGACTCGTGCACGCCGTGAAACTCACGGCGGATTTCTTTTAAGAGACGTGAACTGGTGAAGCTTTTAATGACGTCACGTCGCGTTCACCTGTCTGCCGCTGCTCTGGTGGGCAGGAAGTACTGATTTGCTCATATTTGACGCTTCCTGCTTTCCGCGCACTCAGGACGGCCCCACGCGCCCCTCCGCTCTGCAGCCGCTGGGTGGAGGGCTGGCTGTGTTGGAGGAGCAGAGGAGAAGCAGGAATCAAACAGGTGTCCGGTCAGCTCCATCAGCCCGCAGGAGGAGGTCCACATCGACGGTGATGAACAGCCGAAAGCTCGCAGCCTCCTGACCGACAGCGGAGCTCACAGCAGGAGGAGCAGGAGGAGGTGACCGACTGCTCCGCGCTGTAACAGGTGTGTCTGAGGAGCGCGCGGGTCACCCCCGCCCCCCCACACCGGAGCAGGAGCTCCGTCTCCTCTCCTGGACATCCCAGAGGCGCTCACTCGTGTTTCTGCAGCAACATAGGAGGAGGAGGAGCAGGAGAGGGAGAGGGGAGGCTTTTTTTCAGACGGCAATTTAAAAACGGAGGAGGCGTGCTCTCCTGTCGGACACGGTTAGCGGCTCTGCCCGTCGTCAGCTGCCCAGTGTCGGCAGTGTTTGATCTCACTGGGTCCGGACTCGTTTCTCCCCCCGGCGCGGAGGCAGGGAGCCGCCGCGTGTCCGGTGGATCCATCAGACCCGGACGGTGAGCGGATTCGCGCACGGCAGAGCGGAGCGGCTCTCCCTCCCGTCCCAACCGGTTATCATGGCAACCAGGACAGCCGGGAGCGCGGGGGACACGGTGACGGCCCCCGCCCTACAGCGGGCCCGGGTCCCCGGGGCTCCCGCGGAGGAGTTCCAGGACTGGTGCCTGCGCACGTACGGAGACTCCGGTAAGACGAAGACCGTGACCCGCCGCAAGTACAACAAGATCCTGCAGACGCTGCTGCAGGGGGACGAGGAGAACAGCCACGCGATGTTCCTGCACGAGAAGAGCGGAAATCACATCAACGCCAAGTTCAAGTTCTGGGTCAAATCCAAAGGCTTCCAGGTCAGGACGCTGCCCGACGCCAAGGGCGGCTCCGCGGGCGGCCCGGTGCTCTACGTGCCCATCAAGGCGGCGACGGTTAGTGACGGTTCCTCTTTCTCCCACAGCTTGTGTGTGTGTGTGTGTGTGTGTGTGTGGCAAGGTTTTTCTGCGCAGTGTACCAGGGGCACGGAGAAAAGTTGTCGTACCATAGGCACGAGCAGTGTGTGTGTGTGTGTGTGTGTGTGTGTGTGAATCAGGAAGTGAGAGTGAAGCTGCACTTCACCTGGCTCAGTGCCACCTGTTCCACCTGAGCTCCGTTTCAAAGTAAAACCAGCAGAACTATTCAAACTACTGAAACTTTATTTATACAGGACATATTCAGGGGTAGATGTGTTTTTATTAAAAAAAAACACAATAGTAGAGGTGAGAGGAAGTGATGATGATGATGATGATGTTTGAGGAGGTGCACACAGCAGTCACGCCAGCACACGATGCTGTTTGTGATTTCTCTGTATAATGAATCCTGCGCATCTTTTTATGTCCACATACAAACCTCACGTCTCCTGTTCACAGTGTAAATGTTTGTCTTTAACCTGATTTGTGCTCTAAATGTGAAAAGTTTGAATTTATCTGGACGTCACACTGATGATTATGCTGATGCTGGTGAACGTGCCCGCGAGGCGTTCATTAGTCAGATTAATCTCATTAGTCTCCTGATTGGATGTTCAGATGATTGAGGCCTTTTCTGTGTCTGTGCGTGTGTCTGTGTGTGTCTGTGCGTGTGTGTGTGTCTGTGCGTGTGTGTGTGTCTGTGCGTGTGCGTGTGTCTGTGCGTGTGCGTGTGCCTAATGAAGCTGAAATAGGCTAAAACGCTGTAATATAATATAATACTTCTCTTCACAACAAACACCTGAGCAGGTGCACAGAGCCGTGGAGTGGAAACGTCTGCTACCTTTGAACTGGATCATTTTCTAAACCTGTTTCACTGCTAGTGTTTACATTACACCCCATAATGATTCCACTCCTGAACTCTGAACATGTGGATGCTTTTACTGACAGGTTAAAATGATTCTGACACTTTAACAAAGCTACAAACCGTCGCTGCATCGACTGTAACAAACATCATAACTGACTGACGGGTCGTTTTATGACGTTTTCGACTGTTTGAAACATAAATAAGATTTCAAATCCATGGATATCTTCTCAAGTTTTTCTTTTTGTTGAGCTAATTTCCACAATAATTCAAAGTTCACGATTGAGAAGACACTGCAGGAGAGAAGGGTTCATTTAAAGCCCTGAACCTCCCTGCCATCACCTGCTAATTTAACACAGTCCATGTTTCTCTGAGCGGCGGCTCGGTCTAAGCTCAGGTGAGGTGGATAACGGGCACGTCCGCTCAGCTGCAGCTCTCTCAGTCACTGACGCTGAAAATCAAACCCTGAAGTCAAGCGTTGCACCCGCGTCGACGTCCTGTGGGAAGATTAATGAGCTCGTCTTCACACGTTTATGACGTTTCGTGGTTTTTAAAAAACACATGCTGCATATAAAACATCCCGGTGCCCACCAGCGAGCTTTGGGCTTTCACCGGGAACGTGATGGAAAATATGTAATCTGTATTTTATTTAAGTGGGTTTAATCCACAAAAGCCTGAATAGATCTTTGTTTGTCACGTGGAGTAACAGTAAGCACTTCAATTCAATCACAACAACCGTCGCCTTATATTGTAAGGTAGACCCTACAGTGATGCACAGATCAATCCTCACTGAAACCACGGGCAGCCTGATATAACGACTATCTGTGGAAGACTGTGGAAGGTCTCCCTCCTGACGCTCCGCCCTCATCGTTCCCGCTCTTTGTCCCGATGCTACAACGTCGCCGTGGATCTTCTGATGTGTCAGTGACTCTGGGCTGATATCAGATGTATTTTTTGGGATCATCCAGGAGTAAAAGCACAGTTTATCTAATAATAATTTATTGATATTCAATAGAAACTCTTTAGCGACATAGTAAAGTTTTCATTCCAAACTTGATTTCGATTTATTTTTCACACTTTGTGATACTGTGGCATCATTGATGTTACTGCACAGTGTCAGCTCTGTTCGTGGGCATCGTCGTGCAGCAGGAGGAACCTGTCGCAGTGTGACAACCTCCAAGCATTTCATCCTGATGCCTGAGGCCAGTCAGGGTGCTGGCGCCTAGCCTGTACAGGTCTGTGCGTCCCTCCATGGGTATGCCTCCCCAGAGCACACATGTGCTCAGGTGAACCTGCTGTCATCTGTAAAAAGTAGGGGTGCAACGATACTCGTATCGATATTGAACCGTTCAATACAGTGCTTTCGGTTCGGTACGCATATGTATCGAACAATACAACATTTGTAATTTATTTTATCAACTTTTCTTCTGACGATGCTGTCTGTGTGGAGCACTCAGTGAATCTGCGCTCGACAGTGCAGCCTAGGCGAAGCAGTCGAACACAGATCCACTGAGCGCAGCGCAAGCTAGCAAGACAGAAGCTAAGCTCGTTGCAACATGGCAAACTGAACCTCCCCCACCCTCATTCAGATCTGGCCTTTGGAACTATTTTGGTCTTCATGTGACGTATGACCCTGAAGGTAAGCGCGTCATGGACTAAAGTAAAACGGTAGGCACAGCAAACCTTACTGATCCAGGAGGAGCTGGATTACCTGTGGAACCTCTGCAGGGGCCAGGTATGGGCTCATGCTACCACCAGTGACACAAGACGAGGAGGGGAACTGTCAGAGACCTCCATCCAGGAAGCTTTCCTGTTTGAGGCTTTGCTCATTGTTAACCCTGACCGGGTCGATATCTCAAAGTTTAATTAACGTGATGCTAAACTCAGTGTGTGTCTCTGGTGTGAGTGGATAACTAAGTCCACCAACAACCCCTCCAACTTCTTCCCTTCTTAAAATGGAAAATCGTATCTTGTGTGTTTATCTCAGTACATGTGAGACCGGACGGATGAAAAATTCTGTCAAATAATTTAACTCAGTTTTATTTATAAATCACAACAAAGCGCTGAAGACGCTCAGTAGATACAGAGAGAAATACCCAACAATCATATGACCTCCTATGAGCAAGCACTTTGGTGACAGTGGGAAGGAAAAACTCCCTTTTAAAGGAAGAAACCTCCAGGCAGAACGGCTCGGGAGGACTGCTGTGATTGTTGGGGTGAGAGAAGGAAGACAGGATGGGTAATTAGAAATCACATCTATCCACATGTTTGACCCTCCAAACGTTGCTGCTGTTCAGTTTTCCACCCTCGTTTGCGTCCACAGTTGTCAAGTCAAGTTTATTTATAAAGCACATTTAAAAACAACCGAGGCTGACCAAAGTGCTGTACAATAAAATACAAATATAAAATACAATAAAACACAAGTACATAAAACACCTCACTGATAAAACAATAAATTAAAACAATAAGTTAAACCTTGCTAAAAGCCAATGAGAAGAGGTGAGTTTTAAGAGCAGTTTTAAAAGTTCCTAGGCTTGTGGAGAATCTGATGTGAGGAGGTAAACTGTTCCACAGTCTGGGTGCAGCCACAGCAAAAGCCCTCTCTCCCCTAGTCTTTAGTCTGTACCTGGGAACATCTAAAAGCATCAGGTCTGCTGACCTCAAAGATCTCCTGGGGCGGTAAATGCTAAGAAGCTCTGCCAGGTAAGGAGGTGCAGTACCGTTAAGAACCTTAAAAACCAGCAGTAAAATTTTAAAATCAATCCTAAAAGCAACTGAGAGCCAGTGGAGAGAGCAGAGGACCGGAGTGATGTGGTCTCTCTTTTTGGAGCCGGTCAGTTGGAGCTGGTTTAGTGTTTTTGGAGATCAGTCACAACGTGACGTGTTATTGGAAACCAGTTAGCTAACCTCCTGCTACAAACAGAAAGACCACAGGTCCACATAGGGCTGCTCAATTAATCGAATTTTAATCTCGATTACGATCTGGGCTTTCAACGATCATTAAAAATGACTGAGCCGATTATTAGCCCCTCCCTCGTGCTTTACTCTCGCGCTGCTCCATGTGGCAAATCGAGCGCACCTCTCTGCATGTCGAACACGCCTCACAACAATTAAGAGGACCCGAGGGAAGCTCGGAAAGCTAAGCAGAAGTTATTTGGAGAGGAGAGTGACTGCCGTTGGTTAAAAAGAGGTAAAAAAAAACCCTTCATTGGTGTGGAAACATTACGGGTTCAGTCAGACGTGGGTCAAGTAGACACAGTGTGTAAACTTTGCTACGGCACCACAGAGCAACACTGCAAAGTTCACTAAACATAGATGTTTACATTTTTCATTTATTTTTTATATTGCAAACATTTGCACTGTTATCAGTATTTGCACACTGTTTTATATTATTTTTTAAAGTCATTATTCAACACATTGTTATTGTTAAGCCTTTAAATCCCTGTAGAACCGGAACCGCGTAAGCTAGCGCAATAATTTGTTTTGCATATGAAACCGGAGGAGTTGTACTTACATCTGATGCCATCAGCTTGTCCTCGGTCACGGTTTCCTTCCACATAAAGCTTTGCAAAGAATGCATAAAAAGCGCTTGCAGGAACAAAAACGTAATATTCCAGAAACAGGCTTTGCCGATCCGATCAGCTGTTTGTAACACTTCCCACATTGAAAAAGAGGTCAACGGAACTTTTTTTTTTTTAAACTTTATTTAACAAACAATGAGTATACAACATACGAACAGATGAAGTATACAAAACAACAGAACATGAACACACAAAGCCAGGGGTAAAAGAAAAAGGTAACAATTATAAGAATACACGCAAAAATTCACACACATATATTGTTGTGAGCCTTTCTGTTGGTGGCGTCTGATATTGATTGTATGTACATTTGCACATCCTTAAAATAATGACAGAAATATGGTGTTTTGTTAGTAAACTTACATTTATGGATAAAAAATTTAGCTAAAAGTATTAACAAATTTATCATAAAAAACATTTCTCATACTTCTTGGGGAACTTAAAGAAACAGAAAAGAAACGCTGTAATATAATATAATACTTCTCTTCACAACAAACACCTGAGCAGGTGCACAGAGCCGTGGAGTGGAAACGTCTGCTACCATT